TGTTCTCTCAGAAAGCCCGGTGCTCAGACAGGAGGATCCTTATTTGAATCTAGAATTGGTGCCTGCTTCCATGATAGAATGGAAAGGCCGTCCCCCTTATTCAGAAATATCTTCTCCACTTGTCATTCTTGATGCCTGAAATGTGCCCATGAGCTTCATTTTGGGTTTGGCGTTGTTCCCTCCAAGCTCCTTGATTACAGTGGGAGAGGGTGGCTCATCTCCCACCCCAGCCAGGGTGGACTTGTTAACTCCTTTTTTTGTGACAGGGTCAGTTGGAGCATTCTAGGGCCCCAGGGGTGGAGGCTGGCATAGACACACTTCTCTCTGCCTGCCATTTTGCCTTCCCGAGGGAAGGGAGGCAGGCCCCTTCTTCAGCTTTTCTCCTGTGTCCCCTCCCCATTAGGAAAGCTTTATATTCCATCACTTTCCTGCTCTTCCCCATTAATGTGCTGGTGGGCATCATAGTGGGCATCTGCAGGATGGCGATCTCCACCCTCTTCAACGTCATCCACTTCTGCCAGATGGACCTCAGCTTTCTCTGCCATGGTGTGGACACTTTGGACCCAGGTAAGGGCAGCCATGGGGATGAATTTGAGACCACTGGCTGCCCAAGTGGGGGAGGGGCACTGAGCCTGGCAGAGAGGTTGGATGGGGTGGAGGGAAAGGAAGAGACCTGAGCCTGCCACTGAGTCGAGTGCAGTCTGAAATAAATCCCTTCCCTTCTTGCAATTGTTTTCTCCTGCATGGACAGCCTGAAAGCCTTGGGGGATTGTATGTCTGTGTGCGTTTCATGTGTGGGTGGTTCGTGTGCACCCCTTGTCTGTGAGATGGATTGTCTGAGAGCACACCTTAATGGTCATTGTGCCCAAGCACCAAAATTGACAAAGGAGGAAACTGAGTCATAGAGAGGTTAAGCGACTTGCCTAGGGTCACGCAGCTAGCTACTATTTAAGGCAGGATTGGAATCCAGGTCTTCCTGACACCAAGTAAGTGCTCTGTTCCCTATTCCATGCTGTTTGTGAAAGAATTAGCCTGTGTACCCTCTCAGGATGTCGGTAGGCTGCAGAGAAGGCATCCTGTGTATGCATACACTTCCTATGTAGCGTTACTCACACTACATGTGAAAGGAGCCTCTGTACATGCTTCGTATGTACACACTGAGTGTGAGGCAGTACTGTGGTGATTGTGTGTGTGTGTGTGTATATCACAGAGACCAGAGAACTGGAGCTGGAGCCAGGAAGACCTAAGTTTGAATCCCACTTCAGTCACTTACCTTTTCTTTTCTCTTCTTTCTTTCTTTCTTTTTTTAACGGCAATTGGGGTTAAGTGACTTGCCCAGGGTCATACAGCTAGTAAGTGTCAAGTATTTGATCTGAGGCCAGGTTTGAACTCAGTTCCTCCTGACTCCAGACCCAGTGCTGTGTCCACTGCACCACCTGGCTATCCCAAAGGCGCTTACTAATTGGGGTGATCTTGGGCAAGTTACTTGATCTATCTGCCTCAGTTTCCTCATCTGTAAAATGGGGATAATAACAGCACCTACCTTGTACAGTTTTTGTGAGGGCAAAATGGGATCATATTCATTAAGTACTTTGTAAACCTGAGGGCACTATATAAATGCTAGCTATTATTATTATTATTATTATTATTATTATTATTATTATTATTATTAATTATTAGGCACTCAGAGTATGTATATTCAATTGAATTCAATCCAATTTAACCAGCAGTAAGAGTGGTTTAATGGGGTCAAATCCCAGTTCTGTTACAGTAAGAGTGGTTTAATGGGGTCAAATCCCAGTTCTGTTACTGTGGGATCTACCTCAATGTACTTTATCTCCCCAGACCTCAGTTTCCTCATTTGTAATTTAAGGGGATTGGACTAGATGACCTTCCAGGTTCCTTTCAGTTCTGATTCTGTCACCATCAAAAGCATCTTTCATGGTCAAGGCCCTATTCTAAGGGGACTGGGGGCAGGGCAGGGATCAGAGGAAGGATTTTTTAAAATCCCTTCAAAAAAAAAAAAGCCCTTCCCTTAAGGAAGTTCCCTTCTGTTGGTTGGTACAGTTAAGTCAATACCAGGTGATCTGAGGAGGAAGAGAGCCATTAGCACGTGGAGGGATGGAGGAGCTCATGGACTAGGTGGCTTGGGAGCTGAGCTTGGAAGGAAGAGGAGTATTCTGAGAGAGCCAGAAGTGAGGAAGGCATGGACAGGCAAGGGCGGATGGTGACCCAGGGGAGGGCACTAAGAAGGGAGGTGGAATTCCAGGTTCAGATGATACCTGCTTATCTGGGCTGCCTGGGTGAAAGGGAACCAAGGCTAGAAAGGTAGCCTAGGGCCCAACTATAAAAGCTTTCAATTCCAAAGTTTGGGTTTCAGCCAATGAAGCGGGTTTTTTTGTTTTTGGTTTGGGTTTTTTTTTTTTTTGGTGAGGCAATGGGGTTAAGTGACTTGCCCAGGGTCACACAGCTAGTAAGTGTCAAGTGTCTGAGACCAGATTTGAACTCAGGTCCTTCTGACTCCAAGGCCAGAGCTCTATCCACTGTGCCACCTAGTTGCCCCGCCAATGAAGTTTTTAGAGCAGGAGTGTGGCGTGGTCAGACTGTATGTACCTTGGGAGAATTATTTCTGCAGCTCTATGAGAAATGGATTGGCGAAGGGACATATGGGAGGTAGGAAGACCATCTAGAAGGCTACTCCAGTAGACCAGGTGAAAGGCTAAGGGGGCCTGGACTAGGGATGATGGGCACGTGGAGCCTGCCTAGACAAGAGCACAAGGTGTTTGTGTGTGAGCCAGCCCACGGTGTGTATAAGCTCCCTAGCCAGGCTTTTCATCCCTCCCTCAGGCTATCGCACTTACTGCTATTACTTGAAGATGGAGGTCAGCCAGTCACATCCAGCAATGAGAGCCTTTTGTTTCCTGCTCCTGCAATCACCTGGCTCTAGGGGATTGGCTGGAGCCCAAGCTGTCCTCAGACCAAGTGATGTAGAAGAAGGTGAGATGGTTCAGCTTGCTGGCTTCTCTGTCCCCAGCCTGGGAGGAGGGTGAGAGTTTCCCTGCTGTTTCCTGCCTCCCTCTATTCCAAGGCTTCCTCCTTGGCCTTCGTCCTTCTGGGTTGTCCCACTGGCTGCTGAGCAGTGCTTTGGAAGGATACTATGAAAGTCTGTCTCTGGCTGCAAATTTCTCCCCTCCTTACTCTTGTCCTGGCTGCATAGCTAGGGCTCCCAGTGGTGAACCCTGACAGAGTGGAGGGAGAGCCTCTCCTCTGTCATATTTCAGTTCACCTAAAGAATAAAATGTTCTCTGTGAGTCCTTACTGGCACTGATCCCAAAAGCACACACTGGAAAATCTGAGCTCCATGTTATGGGAAAAAACTTTATAAGGGACAAGAAGGTATCTAAGCTGTCCATGAGTCAATCCCTCCTGCTTTCAGTAAGGATGTTCCTGTCTTGGACCCTCTCTATCTCTAGGCTCAGGAAGCTTTGTGAGAAATGAGAGGTGGGTGTGTAAGGGAGGCAGGGGCCATGGAAGGTCAGGAATTAAGGAGAGTCCACATTGTTCTGTGTTTGTGGGGGTCTGTCTCCTTCAGGGATCCATTTGCTGCAGACCAAGAACCCAGCCAGGAACACCACCAAATCCAAGCAAAGTCGGGTCCGTTGGGGATTGGCTTATACCCTTATCCGCAATCCATCTCTCCTGGCCTTCCGGAAGAAAACTCTGGCCGGCCCTTTGGCCAATGGGAACCAGCCCAACCCTTCCAAGCCCTGACGGATCTGCAGAGCCGGGAGGGGAAAGAGGGAACCGCCTGTTTGTGTCTCTGTCCAGGGAGGTCCCTGGCAGGAGCCTCGCTGACATTTTCCTTCTTTCCTCTCACTCCTTCCTCCTGGATTCTTCCCAAAGTCACTGCTTTGAAGTTCTTCCCTGGAGGAATGCTGGACTCCTCCCACCTAGAGAGACTGTGCAGAGAACAGCTCCTGAATGCTGATGGTGCATCATCCTTCAGCTTTTGTTTGTTGTTAATTTGCTGTGACCCCTGGCAAATGTCAGCATCCTCAGCTTCCTAGAATGAATATGTGTGTGTGTGTGTGTGTGTGTGTGTGTGTATACACACACACACACACACACACTCGCACGCGCGTGTGTGCATGCACCCAGAGGAATCCCATCTCCAAGTCCCAGATGCCTAGGGAAATCAATCTTACTCCAAATCAAACTTACATCCCATTTCCTCCTCCATGGGACCATTACTACAGACAAAAATCTATAATCTTCAAAGTTCATTTCCCTATATTCTTCTGTCTCATTCTTGCATTGATTCATTCATTCAACAATTTATTAGACACCTACTAAGAGACAGTCAGTGTTGGGTTCTAGGGGTCCAAAGTTAAAAAACAGTTCCTGCCCTCAAAGAGATTATATTACATTGGGGCAATTACACCATTTACACAAATAAGTACAAGAGGATCAGAATAGGGAGAGAGAGGTTAGAAAACATTTCTCTTGGGAGATGGCACCTGGATCGAGTTGAATTGAGCCTTAAGGAAGTTTCTAGGATACTCCCCTCTCTGGGGTCATCTCTTTTCCTTCTGAGACCCAGCCCCAAACTAATTCTAGTGGGGCTTCTTCATTATCAAGAATAAAGGAGAAATACACGCCACCCCCAAATGCAGACTTAACTAAGTATCCAGGAAGTGAAAGAGTGCTATGTGTGACTCATTGGAGAGGCCCCAGGACTGAGCTTACATCTAAAGATTTTATCCAGGTTCCTATTCCAGAAAGCCCCACTACTGGTCAGTGCTTCTAAATGGTACCAACCTTCTTCACTTCAGCTCTGTTTCATTCTTAGAGGCAGCTAGGTGGCTCAGTAGATACAGCACTGGACCTGGAATCAGGAAGACCTGAGTTCAAATATGGACTCAGACACTTACTAGCTGTGTGACCCTGGGCAAGTCATTAAACCTCTGTTTGCCTGAATCCACCAGAGAAGGAATTGACAAACCACTTCAGTATCTTTGCCCAAAAAACTTCATGGACTATACGGTGTCATGAAGAGTTGGACACAACTGAATGACAGCAACGATCTGATTCTTAGAGCTTTATCCAAAGACTTCTTGAGATACTTTCTCCATCTCCACGAGGCACCTTCTAACTTCTGGGATCCCAGCCCAGCTGTCTGGGACTCAGGCCCTGGCAGTGTTTGGTTTGACATTCATCTGCCTTGCAGGGGATTAGGGCTCCCACGTCCCTCTCTAGCTCTGTCTCCAGCCCCAGTGGCCATCTCTTTGTCCGAAGAAGGCTAGAGTATTCTTGGCTTGGCCCCCTTTCCAGGGAAAAACCAGATGTTATCACTTCACTTTTTAATAAATTCTTCCCCCATCATTCAGTCAGTAGCAGGTGACTGAGTAGGTCCAGGGGGAAAATAAAGACTATTCCCACATTTCACAATCTCCTCAAGCAGACAAAAGTTGCATCACCCTGCTCCCCAGAGTACACAAGAAAGAAATATTTCTGTCCATGACTCTTGTAGAACTCCATGTACACATATGTTGTGATAGTGACATGCAGAACATCATTTCAGTGCAGTGAATCAGACTGGTTTCCCCTCTGTCCTCAAGGGAATTGTGGATCCAAATGCTGTCTTGATCACAGGAGAAGTAAATTGATTGAAGTTAGCCTTTGACATTTTCCAGGGACCAATGAACTCATGGTAGGTCTGGGTCTAATCGGGGGTGTAGTATGGGCCAAATCTGGGACAAGGGAGGCCAACTGGAGGGTTTGGGATACTAAAATGGTACCAAGTCCTCACCCTGTCTCCTCGTCTGCCACCCCCAAAAATGGGCTGTAAGGGATTCTTAGAAGTTTAGAAGTTCCAGAACCTTCCTAAGCCTCTAAGGTACCTTGGAATACAGAGGAACTCTTTTCCTATAGCCTCTGACAGCTCAGAGCTACATCTCACTCTTCATACACAGCCAGTGTTCATGACTGCTCGATGTGAAGCAAAACTCCCCAACAATCTGAGCTATCCGAAGGTAGACTAGACTGCCTTGGGAAGTAATGAGTTCTGCTTCACTGGAGGGCTTCAAGTGAAGGCTGCTTGATCACTTATGGAAATGGTTGAGGGGATTCTTGTGAGCTGGCCTAGATGCCCTTGGAGGGTTCTTCCAAGTCCAAGATTCAGTGCTGAAATCCCTCTTCCATCCCTTCCCCTTCCCCTCCCACTTCCTCTCTTCCTCTGGTAGAACCCTCTCAGGACCTCCCAAGATAGGAAAGCATGGAGACAGTCAGACTTTTTGGTGACTATTTGGCTCCTGTGACTACTATGGGAAATCCCCAGGGAGCAATTTCCCATCTCAAATCACATTTTACCCTCTGGTTTGCCATTTCAGAAGCTGGGCCTGACCTGGATAGAAATGTGGACTTCAGATTTTGGGAGTGTTTCTACCTTTGCATGTTATGAAAGAGATGGGTGTGTTTCTTCTGATAAATGACTCCAAATGAAGACCCTCTGATTATTTCTGGTTCAGAAGGGTCATCTTATCAATCAATCAATGCTCATCATTCATCTGCTGTAACAGCTGACCTTTACTTAGCACTTCAGGGTTTGCTAATCCTTTACATAAATGATCTCCTGCAGGGGCAGAGAGACAGCTAAGTGGGGCGGTGGATAGAGCTATGGACATGAGGGCAGAGTCAGTAGTGGGAGCAGAGGAAGGAAAGTATTTGGAAACTGGATTAGGAGAGGATGAGTTGAAGGAACTGGTAATGTTTAGACTGAAGAAAAGACTTAATAGGGGCATGACAGCTGCCCCCCACCCAAGTGTTTGAAGAGCAATCACAAAGAAGATTAGCCTTATTCCTCTTGGCCCTAGAGGGCAGAATTCAGAGTGATGGGCAGAAGTTATAGAGAGGTAGATTTGGGCTCACTATGCCCCCAGACTGGCTAACAATCAGAACTGTCCCAAGATACAGACTATCTCAAAGGGCAATGAGTTTCCACTCTCTGGAGATATCCAAAGAGAGGCTGAGTGTACACTTTTTGAGGATGTTGTAGAAGGGACCTCTGTTCATGTACAGATTGGACCAGACAACCTGGTCTATTTTATGGGATAGAGGAAGAGAAGGAGGGGAAGTCCTAGAGACCCCTGGATTTGGATGCTGGGGTTGGAATGTCACATCTGACTCAGGTCATGTTATGATTCGTCCTTTGTTCTTGAAGAGGACCATGACATCAGGAAGATGACGCCATGATTTGTGAGTGAATTGTGTTACAGTGAGGGAGGGCTGTGCAAGGTCACCAGCCTCACTTTGTCCTCCATCGTCATCTGGGTCCAATGGGAAGATATAGATCAGGATGACTGGAGATGGCCCCTTCTGACTCAGATGGAGATTGTGTGGATGGGGAAGCAGCCTTGGTGATAACTTTCAGTAGCACTTTGAGGTTCCCAAAACACTTTCCTCACCATAAGCCTAGATAATCTAAGTAATATTACCCATATTTTGATGAGGTTCAGAGAGGCAAGGCAGTAGAATTAGTGGAAGGGGGGCAAAGACAGCAGTAGCCATGGAACAGTGGGAATAGGACAGAAGGACATTGAGACTCTTTCTCTTGTTTCCAGACAAAAGTTTTCTCATTTCCCCTAGTAAATAAAGTGAGTTTCATCAGTGGCCATTGCATTCCCCACTCTGCTGTTACCATGGACTGGAGGAAGTAGGCATCCTAGAAATACAAAATGTTAGGGTTGAAAAGAGACCAGAGATACTATTGAATCCATCATTTTAGAGTCTGGGAAACTGAAAGTGGCCTAATGTCACAGGGTAGGACTAGAACCCAGGTCTCCTGATTCATGGTAAGTGGTCTCTCCATTGTACCATGTTATATAAGGAAATAATGGACAATGAGACTAAGGTCCAAGAAATCTGAGGCTCTGTAGAGGCCGTGGGCTAGCCCAAAAGCTAAGTACCAAGAGGAAGAATCATAAGGGTCTTAGAGATCATCTCGTCTAACCCCTTCTTTTTACAGACATGTAATTAGAACCCAAGTGGAAAATACAGAAATTCCCCCTCCCCCACCGAACACACACACACAGACACATCCTCATAGAACTGATGATGTGGAACTGGGCAACAAGGACAAAATCATTTTATAGACTAGGTGGATGTTCTAGAAAACAAGATTCTAGTGAGAGCATAACAGAATTGTTGGTCCACAAAGCCCTTGTCATAGGGCCTTGTAGTACAGTTAGCCAGTCTGCATCCCAGACTCACCTCTGAGGATCAAATGTCCACCTCAGCTAAGCCTGGCTCCAGAAATATTGTGAAACCCGCTGGGATTAACTGTTCTTTTCCAGATGTGAGGATCTGCTTTCTCCAGGCATGGAGTAGGAAGCATTGCCCCGTCTACCTTTAACTTCCTTCTCCCCATTCCTATCCTCATCCTCAAATCTGCTGATGCTCAGAATCTGGACCACAACTCTCATTCCAAACAAAGCCTCAGTCCCTGGGCTGATTTTTCCTGCTGGAAGGGGGAAATGAGAAAAGAAGGGAGAGAGAAAGGGAGAGAAGAAAAGAGAAAAAGGAAAGGAAAGGGAAAGGGTGACAGGGAAGTAGAAAGGCAGGGTTGATTAAAGGAGGGAAAGGAAGATAGATGGAGAAAAAAGGATAAAATGGAATAGGAAAGGAGAGAGGAAAAGGAAGAAGGAAGAGAGACAGGAATAAGAAGAGGAAAGGAGTGAAAGAGATAGGGAGGAAGAGGGAGAAGAAAGAAGAGGGGGAAAAGGATTGCTTAGGGAAAAGGAGGAAAGGGCATGAAGGAAAAAGTAAGAGGCAGAGGAGGAGGGGGGTAGAGGGAGAAAGGGAAAAAAGAGAGGAAGAGAAAGAGGGGGAAGGAAGAAGAGAAAGAGACAGAGAGAGAGAGTGAGAGACAGAGAGACAGACAGAGAGGAGAGGACCTAGTGACAGCCGTGCCACTCTCCTCCTCCCAACTGCATTAGCCTCAGCCAGGGCTACCAGCCTCTGCCTTCCATCTTTGACTTCTCCTTGAGTTTTGTGGCACAGGCAATTAAAACCTGGTGAAACTTTTTGAGTTGAAAGCAGGGACAAGGACTCAATGAAAGGCAGTTTGCTTCCCTGCCCTTTTGAAGTTAGTAATGAGGCCGTAAGAAAACCGCAATTAAGGGCAATGGAGGGAAGGAAGGTGAATGAGGAGGGAGGATGACAAAAGACAGAGGACTGAGGCTGAGGAGAGGGAGGAGGGAAGGAGACCCCAAACAGGGCTGCTCTTCCCCTGGGAGGTGCAGAGCTAATAGGATCTGTCAAGAGGCCACAGCCAGTCCAAGAAAGCTGAAGCCCATCCACCTACAGCCTGGTGGTCTCCAGTCTGTCTGGGGTGGGATGGGGAGGGGGCATTCTGGACTGATGTTTCCTGGAAGAGGAGAAGGAGGGGGCCAGACCAGAGGCTTAGGCTCCTTCCTGATGCCCCTAAATTCAGGGCAGGATTTCCTTGCTGTCTGGCTTATACAGTAGCCACATTCCTAAAACATGGATATCAACCCAAGTGTTGGAAAATTCTTTCTGCCATTGACTTCCTAGAAACCTTGAATGAGCTCCATCAAAGTTAAATGACCTGACCAAGGTCACAAAGCCTGTGCATGGTAGACTCAATCCAATTCTTTTGTCCCTTTTTGCAGGGACAACAGTCCTTAACATTGTCCTGTGCTTGGACCTCAACTCTGGGATGCTTCATGTTTTTATCAATGACTTGGCTGAAGGCAGAGATCATCAGACTGGCAGGGCACCAAGCTGAGAGGGAGAACTGACCCAGTATCTAAAATGGTTTTGACAAGCTAAAGACTGGGACTGAATCTAATTAGATGAAATTTAAGAGAGTGTAAAGTCTCAGATTTGGGTTAAAAAAAAAGCTTCACAAATACAAGACAGGGAAGGCAATACTAGTGTGTCATGTCTGAAGAAGATTTTGGAGTTTTTAATGAGTTTCATATTTAATATGAGTCAGCAATATGGAAAGTGGCTGTCTAAAAGCATGCTAAGGACACCTAGGGATGCTTGAGATCCTGGAATCCTAGACAGAAGGGACTTCAAATGTTATCTAGTCCAATTTCCTCAGTTTACAGTTGAGGAAACTGAGGCACAGAGAGGTTAAGTGACTTATCCAACATCACATACCTAGTAAGTGTCTGAGGCAGAATTTGAACTCAGGTTTTACTGACTCCAAGTCCAATTCCCCAGCCTCTGGGAATAAGGATTCCCTGTGTGCTCTGCCCTGGTCAGACTAAATCTGAGGTATCGTGTTCAGATCTGGTGGTACGTTGTAGGGACACTGATAAGCTAGACCCATGGACACCTAGCACTCTGCCCCAATCACTCCTGCTTTCTGTCCTTTTACTCCCTAACCTTCCTCATTCTAAGCTCCCCCCACTCCCATCCCTATAGAGCCTATAATCTCTGATCTCATCACCCTAAACCCCTTCACCTCGTTCCTACTTCCTGGTCATAAACAAATGGAGCATCTCTCCTTAAAAGGGGCCCTGGGGGCAGCTAGGTGGTGCAGTGGATAGGGCACCAGCCCTGAAGTCAGGAGGGCCTGAGTTCAAATCCGGCCTCAGACCAAACACTTGACACTTACTAGCTGGGTCACCCTGGGCAAGTCACTTAACCCCAATTGCCTAAAAACTAGAAAAAAAGGGAGGGGGCCCTGCTTGCGAATTCTTCTGTAAAGTGAGGCAGCTGAGTTATAGTCCAGTAGTTCTCAGTCAAAACCATTTTCATAATAATATTAAGATATTTTAACTTCCAATATGAGAAATATCAGTAGGTATAACCCACATAAACAAAAGCTCTTTGGAGGGGCCCTCAATAATTTTTTAAAAGTAAAGGCATCCTGAGACCCAACGGTTTGAGAATCACTGGTGCAATGGATAGAGTTCTGCCTTTAGTAAGGAAGTCCTGGATTCAGCTCCCACCTTCACTAATTACTAGCTGTATAGCCATGAGCATTTTACAAAAAAGGAAACTGAGGCTCAGAAGTGGTTGTATTATTGGAGCACATTAAGTTCTGGACCAATAAGGAACAAGCTGGACCTCGCCATTCCTTAGTACTAGACCCACACAAGAGCCACATCCTAACGTTCTCAGGGGAATCACTGGATGGAAGACACCACACCAAGGAGAATGACTTGTGTGTGACTCCAAGACTGGAGGTGCTCAGTTAAACCCAAGCCTGGGATTCTGTGCCCACAGATTACAGTTACATTTGAAGAAGATGTCATACTTCTAAGTCACTTTCCCATTCGTTACCCCCAGGCTGGACAATGCTCTCTCCCTCCCTAAACTGCCTTGTCTGTACTTATCCACACGTGTTGTATCTCCCAATAGAACATAAGCTTCTTGAGGGCAGGGGCTGTTTTGTTATTTTCTCCATCTCTCCAGTATCTAGTACAGGCCCTTACAACACAACAGGCACTTAATAAATGCTTCCTGAAC